ACCGATCAAATACACGCACATGACTCAGTCCAAGGCAACAGGTGGCAAAACCCAGTCCCAAACAGCCTCAGGCAGGCACAGACTTGCCCAGATGCAAACAGTTTAGCTTTTAACCAACTCATCTTCCACAAAGCAGAGACTCAGGACCCCCTTCATTCTTCCTGGAGACCACCCTAGAGCTCCAGAGGAGGAGAATGAGGCTGGGTGGGCTTCAGGGTCCCTTCCAACTCTACACTTCTATGATTCTATCTCTCCATCTTGGAGGTACAAGGTTAACTTCTAGCAAACAGGCAGCTGATAAAGGCTGTGGAGCCCTGGCGAGGCAGTAATTATACTTTTCTCTTTTATGTCCAACTAGAGGAGTGAGATGTATTGTGGGCAAGGGGAGCTAGAAGCCGGGCCTTATCTGAGATAACAGTCATATCTATTGGTTATACCCAGTAACCCCTCCCCCCCCCCAATTCTGCTCCCCTGCCCCGCCGCCCAGAGAGGGGAGTGGTACTCCCATAGCTAAAGGCATGTTGTGGGTGTCAGAATTCCTGGGTCCATCCCACGCCCAGTTCCAGAAGCTCAAGGTGGAGCTTTGGCAAAGCACAAAGTCTGAAGCTTCCCTTACGCCCCGAAGATTCAAAACCATTGCCAAGGAAGGAAAGAGTTTCCCAGAACTGGGAAGGAAAGGTCGCAGCAGAGAAAGATAAAGGAACAATGGGAGATTAGATAAGTGGGGGGAAAGGGCTACCTTTCAGCCCACCTGAGGCTGAATCAGCTCAGGCACTGCCAGAGCTTTTTAACTTTTCTTTTCAAACAGCAACTCATGCCCCCCTCCCCCCCTTCACACAGCCCCGCTGGGTTCCCCCAAATACTCTCCCCACAGTTCCCGCTGGCAGTCTCACTCACAGATGCAGACGGCAGCCAAGAGTCGGCCTGCCAGGTAAGGCGCCTCGCAGGACGGGAACACGGGTTGCACCAGGTAGTTGGCGAACGTGATGGCAATGACGGCCTGGCTGGTGGGCTCAATGATGAGGAGAGAAGTCCACAGGCGGATGAAGGCCGGCAGCTGCCCAAAGGCCTCCAAGATGTAGGCGTAGCTGGCCCCCGATTTTTTGATGGTGGTGCCCAGTTCTGCATAACACAGGGCCCCAAAGACAGAGAACAGCCCTCCCACGGCCCAGACCACAAGGGAGAGGCCGTACGAGTCACTGTACATCAGCACACCCTTGGGCGAGACGAAGATGCCCGAGCCGATCATGTTGCCCACGATCAAGCAGACCCCGTTGAGCAGGGAGATTTCCTTCTTCAGCTTCATGGAGTCGTCAGGAGACGTGGCGGAGGAGTCCTCGAGGGGCTGGCGGGAGGAGGTCCCGTTGGGTACTGAGTTGGCCGGCAGTTCATCCTGAGGAGTCGCCTCATAGCGGGTGGTCTTGGCCATAGCTTGGCAAGAAGAGGAACGGTTCTGTTATAATTATTATTATTATTAATCACCTGCCCTGCAACCATAAGGTCTCCCAGGGCAGGTTGCATCATTGAAAACGTTAACATTAAAACCCATTTGAGATGATTTACAATCATACAGATAAAAATATACGCCTCAAGTGTCAAAAGCCAGGGTAAGGAGGGATGTCTTCAGCCTTCAGCATCCTCCAGGAGCTGTATAATGAAGGTGCCAGAACCACGTCTGTGGGGAGGAAGACCCACGCCTTAGGGGTTCACCAGAGATCATGTCCTCTCCTGGCCTGCCACTCCACCTACACCCCAGCCTCAGAGGGGGGAGGAACTACCAAGACGACCCCTTCTGCCAATCTTAGCATCTAAGAGGATCAGGATGTAAGCAATCTTTCAGGTGTTTTGGGACCTGAGGCATTTGAGCTCTAGGGCATCTTGTACTCTTGCACCTGGCACATTTCGAAACCAAGAAGATGGGGTTGTCTCTTGCACATTAAAGGCGTGGTTCCCAAACTCCTTAACAACTTGAAGAACGCTCTCCCGTTTCTGCTGTACTCATGGCACATTTTGCTAATATAAAGCAGTACCTCTAGGAGGTACAGCACCCAAAAGGATGGCGTTCTCTTCCAGGAGGCGCAAGTTGCGACAGGGCATTGGGAGAAAAGAGGTTGGGGGTGTAAGCTGGCACGCAAAGGCAGATAGGAAACCGGACAAGAGTGCCTCTACTTTCCCAGGGGGCGGGGAGCATGCTATCCCAGGAGACAAACAAGTGCTAGAAGCAGGCAGATATCCCTCTGCCTCCCAAATACTGGGACCCAGGGCCTGGTTCTTACCTCTTATTTGCCTGGAGAACTGCAAAGAATGAGTATTAGAACCTCAATCCTCATTTCTGGAAGGCGAGTCCAGCAAGCGAGTTTGGGGCACTGAGGTTACCTAGGCACTATCTCTTAAATCTGAACAGCCCGAACAGGTAATGGTTGGGTAATCTTAAGAGGCTGGGAGCTAGTCACTGTAGATTTCCTCTTCTGCCCAGGGAGAGGTGTCTGGGGGGTGGAGAATGCAGGGGGTTGGGAACCAGGAAAAGAGAGGGTGGGTTTCAGCTTTGAGAGAGCAGTTCTGGGGCTGGATTCCCACCCACCTCCCACACGATATTATTAGGGGACAGAAAGGGGTATATAGATGGGGATGATGGGAAAGAGAAACTGACAGATACTCACAGTCCACAGCACAGTTCCTCCTCCTGCTCTGTCGTCTTATCCCCACACCAGCTTAAGAATAAAGAGACAGAAGCTGCCAGAACAGCACTTTTAACATGAGGAACTAACCAGGGTTGCCGGGGGCGGGGTGAGGGGGGTAAAGGAGGGTGAGCCATTGACCGAGTCCAAGGTCCGTCTGGTGCCAGGTGGGGGCAGGAGGAGTGCTATGGGAGATAAGAGGACTGGCAGTGCCTCCAGGGCACCCCATGGCTGAGACGTCCAAGAATTGGCTTCCTGCAGGAACGTCTTGTGCATGTGCACCCTCGCAAACGGCGCTATCAGTTTCCCGCAGCAGCCCTCTCATGCATCCTGTGAGACGTCAAGCCTCTCAAGTCACACAGAGCGCCTCTTCAGAGACAAAGAGACCTGTGGGAATCGGCAGCTTGCTAGACCTACCGGGGCAAATGGTTCAAAATGAAAAGTTTATCAGCCCTGAAGGCAACCAAGCCTGTCAGATTGGTTCAAGAGGAAAATCTCGCCACCATTTTTGCATTGCACGGGGTTGGACTAGATGACCCTCAAGGGTCCCTTCCAACTATACAGTTCTGTGATCCACGAACTTAACCTTCGCTTCTGATAGTAGTAGTTGGGAGTTGGAGCAGGGGGGTTGTTGATTTCACAACTTGACAAATGAATGGCAAGTGGGAATCCCAAACTTCAAATGTTATCAGTTCCCAGACTGTATAAATCACACGCGATGGCAACTTTCCAAGCCACACCAAACTCTTCTTCAGACAGAAAAAGTCCTGTGCGACTCTTGACAATTGCTACACAACACACACCCTGCATCCTCGCTACTTGCAAATCGTTTTCTGGATAAAATGAGCCACACATTATTCCACGTTTGCAAATCATATAATGGCTTTGAATCAGGCTGCAACCCTATGCACACCTACCTGGGAATAAGCTTAATCGAATTCAATGGGACACGAACAGGATTACACTGCCAGAGCGCAATCCTTTGTACACTTCCCTGTGAGCAAGCCCCGTTCAATAAAGAGCGTGGGACTGAGGACCTAGCAATTATACACAGGATCACGCTGTAAGAGAATTAGGACAAGAGCAGCAGGGGAGGGGTTCACCCTGTTATATTAACACCCCGACCCCACCCCTGTGGCTAAATTTAGGGCTGCCACCTTTTTCACTGGCTGTGCTCCTGCGCCTTTTATTTCAGTTGTATCACAGGCAGAAACACGCATTGATTTGGCTTCACTGAAATGCAAGGGGGTTTGGGCTCCAGTTATCATGCATGAGGAGTCCACTTGCATGAAGAATACATGCACGCCTGTTCAATATATATCAGATCACAATTTATAAATGTGCACTTTATAAATCTATAATTTAATAGATCTGTGTTATACACGTGCTTAAAGACCAAGTTCCTTCAAAGGGGTTGGGGTTGGAACTTAATCCACCCAACCTCCAGGAACCCAGGAGTCCGAGGTTGCCAGCAAAGGCCTCCGCATTGCGACTCCTCTTCCTGTTTATGCCGTTTCCAAGGGCGACGGCTTCCTTAGCAACCAAAGGCCAAGATGGCGACGGCAAAGCCTTGCCCATTTCAAAGATGGCCAAAGAGCCCCTATCCGCCCTTAAGAAAAATGGCAGTCAGGACACATCAGAAATAAACAAACAAACACGCCGCCTTTCCTGAGTCTATGGTTTGTGTTAGAGGCAGAGGTGTTAGTTCTGAAAGGGAAATGCATCTTTCACATGAAAAGCCGGCGCAGAGCGTGTTCCCTAACCCAATACGGTGAGTGGGGATATAGCTTCCGGTTTAAATCACAAAATGGCGCCGCGCTTCGTTTGCCGGTACTCACATCCGGGTCCCCGTACCAAAATGGCTGCTCTCACTAATGAAAAGCTCTTCCTTAGGCAACTAGGAACATTGATCAGCGCACGATCCCAAGGCCCTGGAGCGGGGCCTATGGGAATGTGCAGCTATATCTGACTGGGTGTACGGAGCCTTCGGGCGTTTTCTACTCTTTCCTACGGTTTTTTCTCAGAACTCTAAAACGATCCGTACAAGATGGCGCCCTCCTGGCATTTTTTTACGGATGAGGCGACCTTTCCGGCGGCCGCAAGTGGGTGGTTTCCGCTGACGAATTATCCCAAAATGGCGGCGCTCATTTAAAAATGGCGGCTCCCAGTGGAGGTGTATGTTTTTTCCGTACAACCTCTGCGAACGGAAGCGCATGGTCCCGTTCTCTGATGTTTAGTGTCAAAATGGCAGCTTGCGTGGCTCGGAGGCTGGGTACGGAAATCTTACCGGTGGGAGAGCTAGGGAAGGGAGCGGGGCTATTGATTTTGCATGGCTGTCCAGAAGCAGGATGCTCTATGCTTTTTCTGGGAGTCAGTCCCACCGAACCCGATGGGGAGTCCTTACTGAGTATACATGCATGGGAGGATTGCGGGGTAAAGAGGGAGTTACCCCCCAAGTGCCCTTCTTTTCTTACTATCATCGCAGGTTGCTGTTCCAGAATTTTACCCATGTCAAATTCTGGAAGAAAAAACAAAAAAATTCCTTCCAGTAGCACCTTAAAGACCAACTAAGTTAGTTCTTGGTATGAGCTTTCGTGTGCCAGCACACTTCTTCTGAAGAAGTGTGCTTGCACACGAAAGCTCATACCAAGAACTAACTTAGTTGGTCTTTAAGGTGCTACTGGAAGGAATTTTTTTGTTTTGACTATGGCAGACCAACACGGCTACCTATCTGTAACTGAAATTCTGGAAGGTGAAACATGCACAGTTGCCCCTCTAGCAATTTTTGAAAAGGGGGGGAGGCGCACGACTTTTATGGCTTTTAAATGGCTATATATGTGTGTGTGTGCGTGTGTAGATTTCTAAATGGCCTTTGCTTAGTTTCTTTTAGCTTGTGCGTTGCGATGAAAATATAACTTTTGACATTTTAAGCACAAGCCGTTGCCAGAGCCCATAATGGTTATAACTGATTTATGCTCCGGCTTTGGCTATAGCATTATGCTATTGTGCTGTTGTGCCTATGAAATACCCGTTGCTACAACTTGCAAGTAGGGAGATGGCTCGAATCCTGCTTGCAGATTTCCCACAGGCATCTAGTCAGCCACTGTGAGAACAGGATGCTGGGCTGGCTAGATGGCCTGTTGGCCTGATCCTGTAGCCTTCTCTTATGTTCCTACAAGGAGAGAGAGAGGTGATTTGACCCTCCAGATGTAGGACTTCCAACTGCCTGATGGAAAATGTAGTCAAAAACTGCTGGAGGGCAGGGTTGTTGTAACAATTACCAAAAGAATGCTTAGAAAGCTTTGGGTCCCCTAAAGTATATTTATCTATATCCAGTTTCAAGAGTACAAGGCACCGTGAGTCTAACTGAATCCTGAATTTCTCTTTCTACTTCCAACCCTGCAGGACCTCGGCTGGCAAAAATTGCTTCGATGTCTCGGACTTTCCATTGCAGTACTGTGGATCAGTCTGGTGGGGCCTGGAGAGTAAAGTGAGTGCCAGAGATAGAGGGGGGCATCTTCAGAGCTAGAGAGGGATCCTTCATCTTACTTACTCTATTATTATTATTATTATTATTATTATTATTATTATTATTAATACTTTTCTGGCAGCACTGCAAATGACTTTGCCCTCCGTATACTTCGTTCCAGGCACGGTTTCCCTATAAACCCTTCACATTACGGACCCTTAACAGACCTTCCTGACTGGTCGTTTGCTGGTAAGAAAAATGGGTGTTTGTATTATTTGTTTCACTGTATTTAGGCTGCAGACTTGCAAAATAAAAATAACGTTGCCTTTACATAATATCGGACCATTGATCCAACTAGATCAGTATTTATAATCTCCTCTTCCACCCCAACTCACAGCTCGGTTAATCCTGAAGAGAACCAGTGTAGTTTGCTAAGTGCAGTAACTTTTAGTGTTAAAATTTGGCCCATAATCACCATTCCTCCCTCCACCTCTTTCCCCCTTTTCTTCCTAATGTAACACTAATGTCTCACAGCAAATGAAACTGATCTGTAGAAAACGCAGCTTTAAAAAGAGACATTGCACGTACTTTTGTATACTAAGAAATCTTTAATAATTTTTTTTAATGGCCCATAAAACTTGTTACTATCAGCCATGATCTGAGGGCACAATAAAAGGGTGTGACTGTAGCATCCTTTGCAAGCAGGCACCTTCCAGATGTTGTTGGACTACAACTCCTATCAGCCCCTTGCTGGGAGTGATGGGAGTTGTAGTCCAGCCTCTGGAGGGCACCAGCTTGGGAAGGGTGGAAGAGAGCATGCATCTGTGTTGAAATAACCTTAACAACCTGGCGTGAGGTGCTATTGAGATTACTTTCTTGTACTTTTGAGCATACAGGGAAGGAGCAAGTATCTGTATCCTTTTTTGTTTTTTTCTCTACACCAGATGGGCGGCCAGCCCCACCGATGAAAAATCATCTCCGTCGGAAGGAAAGGAACGAAAACTTGGCTGTAAGTGGGAGCCAGAGTGCCTAAGAGCCTTAGGAGTCCTGGTTTGGGGGGAATTTTGGAATAACATTAAGGAAGAGTGCAGGGCTTCCCGGATTGGCAGAATGCTGGAAAACCTCACAGGTGTAATAACAGATAGAAATGAGTCAATCTGGAGCTATTACTATGCTGTTTGGGGGTTTTTTTGGGGGGGGGGTAAAAAATTATTTAATCATTTTTTCGATACAAACAACAACCGCAAAAGACACATACAACAAAAACCATAATGACAATAATAACACAATTTGACAATTCAGATTTGAATACACTGATATACCTATGACAACACCTTTTAAACAATATTTTCCCATCTCTCTCTCCTCCTCCCACCATTATCCGCCTTATCGCTTAAATATTCATTCCCGATTTCTTCATATTTATCCATTGTTAATTTGCGTCGACATGCAATTCGTATGTAGCTAATCTGTCCATATTATCTTTTTTTAAAAAAAAAAGTTTTTATGGTCTTTATTTACAAGTATTTACAGAATTCATAGTAGCACATCGCCATTAGTCTGATCCTGAAGATGCAGATATCGCCAATGATTTAAGGTGGCGCCAACATGCAAAGTGTGGGAACTTTACGACCTTTTGCTTTTTTTAAAAAATAAATTTTTATTGATTTTCCAAACACAAAGTAAAAACAGACAATACACAATACACAGACATACAAACATATAAACATGTATAATTTCATAGCCGTTTTTTCATAAACCTTACTTCCCGGACTTCCCCATACCTCCCCCTTTCTGCATCCTTGTTTTATATTTCTTCAGCAACTCCTCAGTCAACTAATTATTCAATTCAATTTCTTTTAAATTTTTCTAAAATTGTTAATTACAGCTGCAATTCTCTGTTTCCCAACCCCTTGACATTTTAACACTCCTGAATTTTACAACAAGTTCTAAGATATACTTTGAATTTCTTCCAATCTTCTTCCACTGTCTCTTTCCCCTGGTCACGGATTCTGCCAGTCATCTCCGCCAGTCCCATGTAGTCAATCACCTTCGTCTGCCATTCTTCCAGTGTGGGTAGTTGTTGTGTCTTCCAATACTTTGCTAGTAGAATCCTTGCTGCTGTGGTCGCGTACATAAAAAACGTCCTGTCCTTCCTTCTCACCGATTGGCCGACGATGCCCAGGAGAAAAGCCTCAGGTTTTTTAGGGAAGGCCCATTTAAGAACCTTCTTGATTTCATTATAGATCATTTCCCAAAAAGCCTTTATCCTCGGGCAGGTCCACCAAAGGTGGTAAAAGGTACCTTCAGTCTCATTACATTTCCAACATTTGTTATTGGGCAGATGATAAATTTTTGCCAGCTTGACTGGGGTCATGTACATCATTTTCATAGTGTTTTCTCTTAAGGTATTACATGCCGTAAATTTAGTACCGGTGGTCCACAACTGTTCCCAGTCAGCAAACAGAATGTTATGACCAATATCTTGTGCCCATTTTATCATAGCTGATTTCACCGTTTCATCCTGTGTGTTCCATTTCAACAGCAGATCATACATTCTCGACAGATTCTTAGTATTGGGTTCTAGCAGTTCTGTTTCTAATTTTGACCTCTCCATCTGGAAGCCTATTTTCCTGTCCTGTTTAAATATCTCATTTATCTGAAGGTAGTGCAACCAATCTCGTACTTTGGACTTTAATTTCTCATAACTCTGTAATTTAACTTTTTCCCCATCTTGTTCCAAGATTTCACAGTATTTTGGCCATTTAGACTCCATATTAAGTTTTTTCACCTCTTTAGCTTCCATTGGTGACAACTACCTGGGAGTTTTACTTTCCAGTAAATCTTTATACCGCATTATATATTATATTATATAATGCTTTCCTATCAATATGGTTTTTGAAACCTTTATGCAATTTTACCTTATCATACCATATATATGCATGCCAGCCAAATCTATTGTCATCTGTCCATATTATCAATCCCTGAGCTCAATGGAATCTTTTTGCAGCTCTTCCAATTCATCAAAACAAGTTTTTTTGCTTCTAATAAAGCACGATACATCCATTTTTTTTTACCCCTTCAAGGGGCTATTACTATGCTGTTGCCCTATAGGAAAAGGATCCAGTGGGTTCTGAGGCAGGGAGTTTTCTCTCTAGAGGTCTGTTGTTTTTTAAATGGCAGACTCAGTCCTGGATCCCATGAATTAAGTCTGCATATGCCCAGAAGCAGGTTGCCTATGAGCATATGCAGAGTGCCCACTGCTGAGCAACTTCAGCCAGCTCTTTCACCTCTTGAAACTGGGATATGGATGGAAGGGAAGCATGAGCCTTGGTGGGTTTCCATTAAAGCTATCAACGTAAACCAGTTTGAATCCCATCGCTACCTACGAAGATTTGGAATTTTAGCTTTGTGCCTTCTGGAATCCTGCTGAACAGTTCTCAAGATTTCTTGAGAAAGGACAGTGCAGTTTGAAACCCATTTTAAAATTCACGGCGTAAAGTAATGTACCCTCAGCAACAGATTATGTACTTATTTTATTTATTTACTTGATCCAGCATATGAATCACTTCCCCCCTAAAACACCTTGAAGTGATTTCGCAGTTTAAAAAAGCATCAGCGCTAAAAGCAGTTCCATATGTAAAAGCGATTTTTAGGATTCCATATGTTAAAAAGTGTTTCCATGTATACAAACGAAACAACGCTGTTTAAAAGCAATTTCATGTGTAGAAACCGTTCCAGATCCAATATGAATATAGACTGCAATAAAGAGAATCACTTAAAACTCTTGTTGAAAAAGGCCCATCTGCACCCAAGCAGAGCTACAGTTCTCACAGGGAACTCTGGGAATGATAGTTCTCTGAGGGAAATAGTGGTTTCCTAACAACACTCAGAACCCTTTTTTAAAATTTTTATTTCCTACAATTTATATACTGCTTGATTGTGTTTGTGTTATAAAAAAAACCTATGGTTCCCAGAAATCAGGCAGAAGCTGTGGCAGTTTAAAGTGGTATGATACTGCTTTGAACGTCTAATGCAAATGGGGCCAACAGAGACGGCGCCTGTCCAATGGCCGCTGAGGATTTCCTCAGGCGCTGAGCTCACTCTGCTCTTCACCTTGCCTCCTCAGCGTCGGGTAGCCATGATCTCCGCAGAAATGGATCACGGGATGGAGAAGTGGAAAGCTAAGCAGAATGAACGAAAGCAACAGGCAGAGGAAAAGCGACGCAACAGACTTCAACCTAAAGGAAGCTCCCAAGAGCAAGACCCCAAATAAATACTTTCCTCCCCTCGTACACCCCCCTCCAATTTGGTGCTTGATTTGTGGTTGTTTTTTTAAAAAATGTTCTCTTTTTTAATACCAAGGAAGAAGGAACAGTGGCGTTGCTGCGGGGGGGGGGCGGGCGGTGCACCCTGGGTTCCATATCTGCGGGGGTGACAAGAAGTCACCCCGCGGGGGCTCGCGGCAGCGTGAGCAGCCATCGCACTGCCGCATGTGGAGGATCCTCCATTTGCTGCTGCAGCCGCAAGCAGAGGATGCCAGCACCGGTGGCAAACCGTTAAATACAACGCATGTGCGGCATCACATGCATGCGCTGCACGTAGCGATGCTGCACATGCACTGTATAGCGGTTTGCCACCGGCGCAACTCCAGCACCATACGGATGGTGCCGGGATCCCTCCATCGCCGCTGCAGCCACAAATGGAGGATCCCGGCACTGTCCGTACAGCGCTGGAGCGGCGCTGGCAGCAAACCGCTATACAGTGGTACCTCAGGTTACAGACACTTCAGGTTATAGACTCCACTAACCCAGAAGTAGTACCTCAGGTTAAGAACATTGCTTCAGGATGAGAACAGAAATTGCGCGGCGGCGGGAGGCCCCATTAGCTAAAGTGGTACCTCAGGTTAAGAACAGTTTCAGGTTAAGAACGGACCTCCAGAACAAATTAAGTTCTTAACCCAAGGTACCACTGTACAGCGCATGTGCGTAACAACGCCTGCCCTGGGTGTCATGCCGCCTTCCTTCACCCCTGAGGAGGAATAACAGATTCCCAATGTGGTTCTAGTTCAAGAACTGCCCTAGAGCCTTCGCTTGGGGCCCACTGCCTCGGCAGCCATTTTCTGTGCCATATCTTAAGGAGATGAGGCAAAGGAGAAAGAGGCCTTGGCTGGCATCCATTCGTCTCCATTGTGATCTCCCTCCCCTGGTGCCCACTTGACATTTGCAGTGGGGAAATAACCGCATTGTTCCATTGAACACCTTTCTAGAACATTCCTGTCCAAAGAAAATGGAACCTATAGCTCCTGTTTGTTTGAGTTAAGGGGGAAGCGGCACAAAATGGTGGTCCTTTTGCACAGTAGCCGGCCACTGCTTGGCGGAGGATCAATTTTTCATGCAGCTTTATGGGATGTGGCTTAGGCTTAAAAAACGGTTTGGGCAGGAGCTGGGGCACTGCAACAAGCTCATCTCGAGGTCACGCATCTTAGTCACCTCCGCGCCATACATGTTAAAGGACTGTTGTATCACTCTTAACAGCCATGGAAAATTTTGGGAACCATGTTTGTTTATTTTAAACCACGCATCCCCTCTTTTCATCTAGGTTCTCAAACGTGGCTTACAGCAATAACACGCTGCAATAATAATAATAATTTATTATTTGTACCCCGCCCATCTGGCTGGGCTTCCCCAGCCACTCTGGGCGGCTTCCAACAAAGATGAAAAATAAACTAAAATGTCACATATTAAAAACTTCCCTGAACAGGGCTGCCTTCAGATGTGTTCTGAATGTCAGGTAGTTGTTTATCGCTTTGACATCTGATGGGAGGGCGTTCCACAGGGCGGGCGCCACTACCGAGAAGGCCCTCTGCCTGGTTCCCTGTAACTTGGCTTCTCGCAGTGAGGGAACCGCCAAAAGGCCCTCGGAACTGGACCTCAGTGTCCGGGCAGAACGATGGGGGAGCAGACACTCCTTCAGATATACCTAGATTAGACCTCTGACATTTTAAACCTCGAGAATCTAAAATCTGCAAAAGGAGGCGGGGGGAAGAAAAACTAAAATACATGGGAAAGTATTTAGGGTGCAAAGGCCTACCCAAATAATCTGTAGCTGTTAAAGGAGCCCTGGAACCCTGTGAAGAGGACCCCAAAGCATGCGCAAAGTGCTTTCCCTTACTCCACTGTCCTAGCAGTTTGGAGTCTCATCGCTCCAGGGAGGTTTTCCAAGAGAAGCTTAAATTGCTGCTACCTCTCCCCGAAGCGTACAGCCTAAGGGTTGGAGACAGTCAGCAGGATTACACACTTAATATTTTTCTGCCTTTGTCAGCTGGCCTGAGGAACTGTGTGTGTGTTTAGGTTGGAGGAGATCTCAGCCTGGCTGCAGACCTCCTGGTGGCCGTAAGCCAGGCTGGAAGGAATCTTGGCCCTCTCCTCTGGAAAAGGGAGCTCTCCTTTTCCCCTCCTGCCATGTAGATTCCCTCTTGAGATGGCTCGCTGCTTCTTCGTATTTTATTTTTTTCACCTTCCCTCTCTTGGCCCCGTGGGAACCACTGCCTGCTGGAGGTGAAGTCACCGCACTGCAGGAAGGAAGAAGGATCAAGGGCTGAGAATGAGGGACTTGAAAGGCAGAGGTGTGCACACACAAACACAAAAAGATTACTTCCTTCCCAATGGAAAAGAGGTTCCCACACATTCACCGCTACCGCAATGATCTATTCTGGTGGTTTTCTACCCCTCCTAAATTGCCTTTTTTTTCCTAATAGGGTGGAATGTTTCCTGTCACACCCAGTAGCCATTTTTGCAGCGAGCATCGCAGTATTGTGACACCTTAACAAAGTGGTTACGCTTGTAATTATTGGTGCCATAATAATTTAAAAACGGTTAAGTCTTTGGCCCTGTCGCTGATTTTCCCTGGGGGCTTTCCCCCTCAGGGGATTTGTGCAAACGGCGGCCTCTGAAATTTATCGAAGGCAGGATGGCAGTATCTGGGAAATCCTAAGTAGGGAGAGTACTGACACACTGCTCACGATCTGCTTTCAGATTTCTGAGACAGCTCAGTTGGTAGAGCACGGCAATCTTAAATCTCGGGGTGGTGGGTTCGAGTCCCACCGTGGGCAAAAGATTCCTGCACTGCAGAGGGTTGGACTAGATGGCTCTCATGGTCCCTTCTAACTCTACAATTCTATCATTCCTGTCAGGGGCAGGTTTGCTACAGGGAAATGGCAACAAGCCGCCCGATTATGTAAGGTTGGCCTGTGTTGCCTGTGAACCTGGAGGACGTGGTTTTGCGAAACTCCTCCATTGTCTGCCTGCCTGTCCCCTGGATTTGTCTCTGTTTAAGCTTTCTAATACAGGAACTTGGATGCCAAATTTGGGTCAGTGGCTCAGCCAGGGGCGGGAACAGAGTAGGGATATTTTTTTCCCCTCTTCCCTCCGTTCCAAAAAATCCTCTTTCCATCCCGTGACCCTAGCTGCAACTGACAACACAAAGCCCAACCCCAAAGCTTTGGGATTTTGAGGCCTTTGTGTGTGTGTGTGTGTGTGTGTGTGTTTAGTTTCCCCCCTCCCCACCCCATTCCTCCCCCCAGCCCTGCCAGCTCTGCCTTGCTGATTCCAGCTGTGTTTTGAACACATCTCTCACCCCCCCTCCTTGCCTCCCACCCCATATTGGTAATTGCTTCCAGATGCAGCAGCCACGAAAGCATGGATGAGATCAGCGCCTGGGGCCTATGCCAAGCGCACGAGACCCACAGGGACATCCAAGGGGCTGGAGAGACAGCAGTGCAGAGGGTTGCCATTTGCTGCATACACCACCCTCGCCGAGCCACGGCAAACCACCCTCCCAGCCCCACTTTCTCAGGGCTCCCCTCTACTTCAGGGTCACCCTCACACACACATATCTTCGTGCATGAAGCCAATGGGGCGGCCAAAACATTTGAGCTGTAGCCTCGCTGCAGCCTTTGTCAGTATCTATTGAATTATTCCTGACTCAGTTTAATGTGTGTGTCAAGGGGGGGACGGACGGACGGACCGCCGCGGTTATACCAACGTCACAATACAGGAGACAGGATACAGGGGCTGTGCGTCACGCATATATCTCTGGTGATTTGACTTTTATATCGTATTTTTGGCGGCGGGGAGGGGGGTGTTAATGCACTTGTTCTAGCCCTGCGAATGGCTCGTGTGGTCTAGCACCCTTTTTATAGAGTTGGAAGGGACCCGCGAGGGTCATCTAGTCCAACCCCTGGAAATGCAGGAATTTGTGGCTCTCAGCAACTGGCATTTGCAGGTAAACTCTGTCTGACAGTGGAGAAATGACAACAGCCATCATGGCTAGGAGAGTGTGTTTAGAATACCGGTAGTTTTTTCTCTCTCACACACACACACAAGCGTGGTTCTTAAAAACAACCCCTTCCTTTAATTGGCTATAGCTCACTAGGCTGCGGGCTGCCAATATGGCACCCATGGGTGCACGTTCACCCACAGGGGGCTTCCTTGGTGCCCACAGGGTTCCCTCCACCCCTGTTGTGATAGGAATTTTATGGTCTTAGATATATGGCAACGTTCATAACCACACGTACATAGATCAGCACAGGAAAGCCAACCTGGAACCATTTTGATTCCTAAACTGAGCAAATGTTTCTCTGCAAGGTTAAACTGGAAAAGCCTCCCCATTGTCTCTTTCCTCACAAATTCTGTCTCAAGGATACGTCTGTTTGAATAAGGTGTGAGCTTGTGACCTGGCCCAGGAAATAAGTATTTTACCACTACAAAAGAATGGCCAGGCTCCCCAGGAAATCCAATCAAGTAACTTGCCATACAGGAGATAAACTGTGACAGGAGAAAAACAACATTTAAATTTCTGTGAACAACATTTAAATTTCTGTGATGTAGGTGGGATGTATCTGAGGGGTGGTCTTAGGTTACACCCCTTCTGTGATGAATGCATAATGTTTCTGGGGGTGGTCTTGATCTAGAGGATGGAAATTTCAAAAGTCTATATAAGCCATTGCACAGCATTTTTGGGGGGTCCTCCTCCTCTCCTGCGTGTGAGGGAGTACCCTGTTGCAACAGATCAATAAAGATCAAGCTTACTAGCTGCTTTGCTTCTCAATATTCTCTGGTTGGCCTCTGTTATTTTCTCCTACCAATAGGGAACCTATGTAAGGACTCTATATGGGCTCTTGGATACGCCATAAGGGAAAAGGGCATATATTTTTATTTACAACACTGTCCATGTGAAAACCAGGACTGAGAGAAGCATTCTGTTGCAGCCTTGAGAACAGGGTGGTTCATGGCA